AACAACCAAGAGTGACAGTAGTGGCTCTGCTTTATAATTGCCACTATCTTGTTTTGGAGTAATCTTGAGTATTTTAATTGTGCCACCCATAGGTGTATTCTTTAGAAGCATGTAGTGATCAGAAGAAAGTTGAGATTTTCCTATGACTAGTGTCTATATAACACATAATATAGTAGTACCATAGTACTCTAGAATATTCTCTGTAGCCTTCACTAGAAGCAAGGATTTGGTTTATATTATCTTTGGTATCTCAGTGCTTAGAAGCCACTAAATATTGGTAGATTGTCTGCATATGCAGCATTTGCCATTTTGCTTAGTTGGTTTAAGTTCTGAAGTAATTAACTCAAGGGTAGACAATTACTCCTGGATCTCTGTACCAGGTATCATACTACTTATATGGCAACCCTTTCTATTAAGATAGTTATTTGACAAATAGACAACCTTGATCAGAAGACTTAATGAGATGATCTATTTATATTTCCGAGAATCCACTACCAACACCATAAACACTGCCTAATCTAGTAGCTTCATCTCTACACAAGAACAGATATGTCCAAGAAAATATTAAATCATGTGTTAGAAACAACTATATAAAGAAAATCTTTGTTGTGAAGAGTTAATCAAAGAATATTCTTATGTATTCTAGAACATATGTTCTACATGCTTAACTTCAGACATTGAAAGTATTCACCTGTAAAAGCTTAATACCAGACTCTATTGTGTAAATTAATTTAACAAAAATTGATCATTTTCAGAGTGATCTTTACAAAGGTGTAAATGAACCCTTAACACTTAAAACCTCTTTTATAAGATGCTTATTCTGATAATTGCCAATCTGTATTCAATTAGATTTTTTGGTTGCCTTAAGCTGTCAATTAAACATTCATTACATGCTAATCACTTTGTAGACGTGATCTAATTTAATAATATAAACAACCTTATGAGGCAATCAATAGTTACTTGTCCTAGATCAAGTAACTATCAAGTGCTGGAACCAGGATTCAAACACACACCTTCATTGCTCCAAAGCTGTTAAGCTTAACCTGTTGGACTGACTGTTTCAACTCATTCAACAAAGAATATAGCAACTTACTTTACTTAATGACTAGAGGAAAACATGTTGAGTCCATCTTTTGGCAAGACCAAAGAGTTTGTCTTAAAACACTGCTCAAGATGATGTATCATTGAAGGCTCATGATGAAACAATGAGTTTATTTCTAGCACATCAAGGTATTTAAAAGTTTCAGTGCCTTGGTCACTGTTCAACAGTGAGTCAAAGTGGGGTTCCCAGGCATCCCGCACTACCCAATATAGATAATATCCAAGGTTTCTTCAGTGTTCCCTGACACTGGTTGTAAGGATAGTCACATAGCATACTATCAAGCAAGATTCAGTTAAATTAAATCCTAGAAAGATCCCAAGATATGGGCTGGGGCTGTAGCTCATTAAAGTGCTTGCCTTGCATGTGTGAGGCACTGGGTTCCATCCTCAGCACCACATAAAAATAAATAAAGATATTGTGTGTCATTCTACAACTAAATAAATATTAAAAAAAAAAAAGATCCCAAGATTCACAAAGCACTTTCAATGTACATGTGAGATGGGAGCAGGAGGGTGCAGTAGGCTGGTCTTTCCTATTGCTGTGTCAGTTTCTGCTACACCATTGAAAAGGTCTCACAGCCAGTTTGCAGTTGAATGTATCTTTTTTATATGCCTTCAGGATTCTTCTGATGTTGATCCTGGAAACTGCAGTAGATCAGCAGTTTGCCAAAAACAACTCACATATCATGTCCAAAAAGCCTAAGGAAAAGGAAATACAATGGCTCTGTAATGGATTCTTAGATTCTCAGTTGCTGTAGATTAGCCACATCATTCTAAAGTACAGGAAATCAGGAATTGAACAAAGAAAACTTCAGGTGTCAGAAACTTCCAGTATCAATTCAGTATGGAGCCCCTGAGTTTTAAAGCAGTCCCTAAAGTATTTTATTAATTTCTTAATGTCTGTCACATATTACTGTACAGGTCACTATGTACCGACACTGATTTGATTAAAGTCATATTTTAAAAATTTACCCAGTCCATGTATTTTCTCTGAAAAATCTACTCTGAATTTTTCTCAGCATTTAAAAATTAAAACTATCTGGGTGAACTATTTATCATTGTAGATCAGACATCAAACTAAAATTGGACTCTGATTATCTTGGGCAACCTATTGGTCTATTTTGGATAGGCTTTTATATACAAAAATGGCCATAAGTACTAAAGAAGTAATTTCTCATTCATGTTAGAAAATGAGAGTTTCTTAATCCTCACTTCCCACATTATCAACTGTCAACCAACCAAGGAAACCATGGAAGGGAACATATATTTACCTAAATCCTAAATTTCTGATGACCATTGTAGGAGCCTAAATGAAGGTATAAGAATATGTAACATGTTTGTCTTAGACTAAATCTCTTGAGTTTACTGTTTATTTTCATGCATGAATATCAAGTTCTCATTTCATGTAATTATAGGAAGTACTACAGCCTTCAGAGTATACATATGATTTCTGGAGAAGTCGTTAATTTTTATGGTAGTTTCCAGTCATATCTTACTCCAAATTCCTATTCCCGGTGCTACCACTCAGTTCTGTCCTTTATATCGTGTCATGCCAACTAAGGACAGAGACCTTGTCTCCTTTATTCTCCAAAGCCGTCTAACACATAGCTTTTAAGAAGAAGAGACTTAAAAATGCAAGAACTCAGGAGGATAGGTACAGCACAGAAATGGAAGCAACTTAAAATTTAGTATCAGAACTCACTTTTAAGGTTCCAGATATGTACATATGGAAGAAATATCTGTACAAATGGAAGAGTGTTTGTGTTTTAATACAGGCCATTTCTTTTCTTTTTTTTTTTTTTTTGACTCTTCTCACCATTTTATTTTGCTTCATCTTGTTTTGGAAAATGCTATTTAGGATAATATAGAACTAATTGTAACATTGTTCTTTATGCTAACATGTAATAGGTTTAAGATTATAATTAACTTAAATATTTTAAAATTTGTTTTTAATTTCAAATGCAGTAAATAAATATTGATAGACATTAAGCCCACATAAACAAAAATTCCACTCATAGTGTAAAGGAGTCCTAAGATCAAAGAGTTTGAAAATCACTGCCATAGATGATTATTTCCTCAGAAGTCTTCATATGGGAAAGTTTAACACATGAAATATAGATTCTTACCCAAGAAGTTATCTAATTACTTTATATATGAAAGAAATTAATGTATTTTAAAGGAATTCTAACAAGTAGCAAAAATTGAATCCCATAGCACAGGGGAACAAGAGTTGCCAATAAGATAAATTCCATCCTCATAAATAGCTATGGTACCTAGATTATAAGTCAATCATACCTTTCTTCATTATCATCATAAGGCAACATATGCTAATTGCCAAGTAAGTCCTTCAGTAACTTAGGTCCCAAATTTCACACTTCCTCTTCTAAATCTGCCCTGACGCCCCGCCTTTTTCTCTAGTCTTTTTTTCCCCCCCTTCATATCAGGGATTAAACTCAGGGGCACTTCTGAGCCATATCCCCAGCCCTATTTTGTATTTTATTTAGAGACAGGATCTCAATGAGTTGCTTAGTACCTTGATTTTTGCTGAGGCTGGCTTTGAATTTGAAATCCTCCTGCCTCAGCCTCTTGAGCCACTGGGATTATAGGCTAGCACCATTCTCTCCAATCTTACTGACACCTGGGGCTCATTACCAGCCCATTCTTTCCTTTAGTTCTAGCATTTTCCTGATTCTTTCCCCTAAGTACAACCAAACATTCACTCAGATCAGAAGTCACTGATGCTATAAGTGTGTAAAGACTGTTACTTAGAAAGTAAATCTATTAAGCTTCCAAGAAGAAAATGGATTGCAATTACAAATTGGTACAAAATATAGCACTTAAAAAAAAAAAGTCTATCTCTACAAAACAAAAAGTCTACCTCTACAAAACTGTTGTTAACCTGTGGTTCAGCATCTCCATGAGAGAACCATAAATGATTTGCAAAGTGTCTATAAACTCCTTGAAATTGTATTCAAATATTGAGTGCATACACTTTTCTAGAAATGGACAGTTGGCCTTTGTTTGCATCACATTCACAACAAAACTATAATTTTTTAAAAAATGAAAAAAAAGAGCAAAAAATCCTTGTTCTACAGGTTTCTGGAGTTCCGCAAGTACAGATTTTTATGAATGGCAGTTATGAACAGATTCATTAACAATTACATAAAAATTACAGCTGTTTGAATTGCATGACTTTTTTTTTTTAGTTGTAGTTTATTTATGTGGTGCTGAGGATTGAACCCAGCACCTCACACATAGTAGGCAAGCACGCTACCACTGAACTACAACCCCAATCCTGACTGCATGACTCTTTAAGAGTAAGGACTAATAGGAATAAAATATTCACAGGCCAAATATCTGTGAGCTTTCCATGTCTTAATGATTCTCACGAAGCAAAATATTTGGTAATTAATTTAATAGTACCAAATGAGATTTAGACTTATACCTGAACCACAGAGCTACTACCTAACTCACCAATTAGCCTTCATCAAATTTACTAGTCACATGGGTTGGTTTTTAGTAGCACAACTGAGAAAATCCATGACACAACAAAACAAGCAAATATAAAATATGATTTCCCAGGTGTTTCAACCTGATAAACAACTGATAGTGGCCAGTTCAATCAAGAAAGTAAACAGTTCAACAAGGACTGTAGTACAGGTAAGTTAGGGAATTAATAGTCAAGTTCAAAGAACAAAATACTCTAGCAATTAATTAAATGATACACTACTATATTTTGTGCTCCTGATCATGCTAAGTTTAAAATTAAAATTCATTTAAGTTATATATTATGTGTATATATACATATATATATATATATATTTATAATATATATATATTTTTTTAGTTAACTAAATCCTAGGCTAATCTTCAGACTAGTCATACATGTAATCAATCTGTCACCTTTGAAGATAATTATTTATTATTAACTTAAACAGGGATTTCTATACCTTATAGATAGAAAACTCAGCTACAAAACTATACAGTGTAAAATGAATACAAATCAATCATTATGACAGATAAACTTGAGAGTCAAAATGAACAAAATATTTTACATCAGCAAAATGTCTCGTCAAATTCTACTCTTTAAGATTTCAACGGGGACTGGGAATGTGGCTCAAGCGGTGGCGCGCGCGCCTGGCATGCGAGCGGCCCAGGTTCGATTCTCAGCACCACATACAGACAAAGATGTTGTGTCCGCCAAATACTAAAAAATAAATATTAAAAAAAAAAGATTTCAATGTAATGTATTAAAACAAATGTCCTTCCCAAATCCATAGAAAAACACTAACTTATTTCAAAATTTCTATTTAGAAACACAAATATTTCCTAGCTGTGAACCATACGTGAAAACTTTAAAGTTTACTATTCAATTCTAAGTATGTTTTCAGGAGTTTTCAACAGTTTTTCTCTTTTTAAAAATATCATTAATGGTAGTAATGGGAGCAGTAATACATAAGTTATTTTCACAAATAATGTACATATAAATTACTCAAGATCCAGGTAAGCAGCTGTGGAAGTTTTCTTATATGTACTATAGTTGCTATAATTAAGATGAATTTTTATATAAAGGATTATTACAATGTAATATCAGATTTACAGCAGATACCAGATAATACATGAAGGCATTTATGTTTTTATCTTAAAAATAAGCTATTGAGCACATTGGGTCATAAGAATATCTAGATAGATATAGATAAGATAGGCAGATAGTATCTGACCTCTAACAGCATACAGTCCCCTAGAGAATGGAAACAAAAAAATGAAAGAGTCCCTCTGTTTTAAATGAATTTTTATAGCATACCACTAGTAGTGTTAACTTGGGTCAATTTTATCTAATACTGACTTCAATGACTTAGAAATCAATATTTACTAATTACAATAATAAGTCCTTCAAAGTAAAATCTCCCCTTATTCTCCTCACTGGATCATAATGTAATACTCCTTCCTTCATCTTAAAACATAACTCCTCTCTCACGACTGTTACCTCAATAATCAACTCTAGATATATGACTCTGCACACCCCACGTATTACTAGGAGGCTTAAAAATGAAGTCAGGATGGGAATACATCTCGGTGATAGAGCACCCTGGGTTCAATCCCCAGTACCGCCACTACTACCCTCAAAAAAACAAGTAGGGATAACAGGCAATGGCAGCACAAGAGCCAAGTTTTGCTTTGTTTTTTTTTGTTTTGTTTTGTTTTGTTTTAATTATTTTTTTATCAGTTGTTCAAAACATTACATAGCTCTTGACAAATCATATTTGCTTTGTTTTGTTTTGTTGGTGCTGGGAAATGAACCCAGGATCCTCTTTGTGCTAGGCAAGTGCACTTCCACTGAGCTATATTCCCAACCTCAAGTTTTAAAGATGAAACAGTCTTCAATTGCCCATTTCTAAGCATATAACCATAAGACTAGTGATACAAATAACACATTAAAAATATGCTCCTTTTTTTGGAGGTGGGGAGGCAGAACCCACCGGGGATTGAACCCAGGACCTCATTCACGCTAGACAACATTCTACCACTGAACTAAATTCCCAGCCCTTTCTTTTAATTTTATTTTAAGAAGAGTCTGAATTGTCAGGTCTGACCTTGAACTTGTGATCCTTCTGCCTCAGGCTCCGGAGTAGCTGGGATTATAGGCATGTACAACTGCACCTGTTTTCTCTTTGATCTCACACAGGACGCTGAAGAGAGCGGGTTTCATTCTATGACAGTTCAGGGCATGTTTCTTTGCTTGCGCCTCGTCCAAGCTCTGGTCATGATCTGGTGGAGGATGTCGCCGATGTCCTGCTTCCTGCCGCCCCTTCGTGGCCGTGCGGGGGAGGCGGCAGGGCCATGCCCCCCTGCACCGAGTGGCCGGCCAGGTTCACCCCGGCCAGAGTCTGCAGCATCCTGGATTGATCGTCCATCCCGCCGCGCGCGGGCGGGAGCGGGCGGCGGCGGTGGCTGAGGCGAAGGCTGAGGCGGCGGCGGCGGCGGCGGCGGCGAGGGAGGAGAAGAAAGAGGGGGAGGGGGAGGGGGAGGCGGCCGCGCGCTCCCCGCCCGCTCTGGGAGGGGGCGGCCGGGCCGGCGGGCCCGCGGCTGAGGCTGTGCGGACCGGCGCCCGGCTCCGGCTTCCGCCCCCGCGGAGGCTGGCGAGGAGCGGCGGGCGGAAGCTCGGGGCTCGGCGGTGGTAGCGGAGGCGGAGGCAGAGGCGCCCGCTGCCCTCACGCGGTCGCCGCGCCGCCTCCTCGCCGCCGCGCGCCCCGCCGGGCGGCCCCGCGCAACTTGCTCCTCAGCGCCGGCCGAGTTGCCGGGACGCCGCCGCCCCCCGCGCCAGCCTGCGCTCTCCCCTCCTTCTGCTGCGGCCGTCGCCGCCGCCGCCGCCGCCGCCGCCTGGGCCAGGCGGGATCCGAGCCCCGGCGGCCCCGGGGGAGGGAGCGGCGGCGGCGGCGGGTGGCGGCGGAGGAGGAGGCCGGCCGGCGGGCCGCGGGGAGCGAGGGGGGCTGAGGAGGAAAGTTTGGGAGCGGGCGGGCCCGCGCGGCGGGGACGCGGAGCCCGGTGGAGGGCCCCGGCGGGCCGCGCGCCGGACGGACAGCAGATTGATGGGGCGGGAGAAGTCGCCGCCGCCACTGCCGAAGCCTCGCACCCAGCCAGCAGCCTCCGCGGACCGGGCTCGAAGGCCGCTCGGCTGAGGGATTGACAGGCTGCCAGTGCCACTCACTCCAATACAGGCCATTTCTTACGGGCCTTTTTTTCTCTTTAGGTCTCAATCAGTCAAGTTCCTTAGGATTGTCTTCGAATTTCCTTTCAAGAGTTTTCTCCTTTTTCCTATTTATTCTTCCTTTCTTGTTTTCTCCCTTCATAAAAAGCCAAGCCCTAAGTGACAACCTGTCCTATGTATTGCAGATATGAAAGTATACAAGACAAAGTACCTGCACCACTAGAGCTTAGGTCCTAGTGGGAGAGAGAGATAAAATGGAAATAAAATACTTTTTATTATGTGCTATGAAAGAAATCAGGGAGGGAATAAAAGAATAACTGTGGAGGTCTTGCTTTGGGTGAGATGGTCAGTAAAGGACTCTTGGCAGATGTGACATTTTGAGAGAGAAAGGAAAAAGAAACTGGCTACATAAATAATGGGACAAAACCCATTTAATTCCATAAGGAAGTCTAATTTAATTACCTAAGGAAACAGGAGTGAAGATACTCTTCAAAGTTTTATAATAGGAAAAATATTGGAGATAATATAGATGTTTGTGTTAGCTTTATGTCACTGTGACCGAAATGCCTGACAAGACCCACTTATAGGAGGAGAAGTATCTTTGGTCTCATAGTTTCAGAGGTTCAGTTCACGGTCAGCCAACTACATCACTTTGGGCTTAAGACAAGCTGGAGCATCATGGCCGAATCATGGCCAAAGAGCCCATCAGAGGAAAGTTACTCAGCTGGAGGTGGCCCGGAAACAAAGAGAAGGGAAGGGGCTGCAGGAAAGATATACCCTTCTAGGGCATTCCCCCAGTGACTCACCACCTATAGTCATGCCCCATCTACTTACAGTTACCACCTCAGTCCACTCAAACTAGGATGAGGTTACAGCTCTCAATCTAATTATTTCACCTCTAAATATTCCTGCATTAACACAGGAGCTTTGGGGGGACACCTCATGCCCAAACCATAACAATGATCATCTTAAGGGGTAAAGATAAGCAAAAAATAAACCTGTCTTAATCTATTTCTGCTGCTATAACAAAGTTTCTGAGGCAGGATACTTTATACAGAAAAAAGGTTTATTTAGCTTATGGTCATGGAAATTGAAGTAAATGGCACCAGCATTTACTTGCTTTGGGTGAGGGTCTAGTGGCAGATGGCATCACAATGGTGGGTGCATGTGTAAGACTGGCAAGCAGCACATGCAAAAGAGGCATTCACAGGAGGTAGCAGGCTCCCTTATAATAACATTCTTTCTGGAACTAATCAAGATTTCCAAGTTGAATTGACGTTGTTTTGTTCTCTTTATCCTGATCATTAAAGCCAACTTTTCCAGAATTTGTATTGATTGATGATATCTGTACAAATGGAAGAGTGTTTTCTGTGTTTCAAAGTTTTAAGCAAATAATCTGAGAAGTATTTTTCAGAAATGTTTGATATTGTCTTCATAGTGCTGCCTATAATGAAATCTTAAAGGCACACACACACACACATAAAGTAACTTTATGAGTAATGGGTGTATTAATTAGCTTAATTGTGGTAATATAAAAGCATATATAAAAGTATCAAGTTAAATATTAAATATATGCACTATTGTCAATTGTATTTCACTAAAGCTTAAAAATGAAAGACTTTTCAGTCAACATTGTGAATGCAGGTAAAAACAGACAAAACAAAAACTACTTTGGATATGTGTATGTGTGTGTCTGTGTGTGTGTATAAATTCTGGAATATAAAATTGGGCATTGAAAACCAATGGAGCTAAACTAGATTTCTAAAACTGAGGAAGTGCTTTATTTTATTTTATTTTATTTGCTCCTTTTAGTTATACATGACAGTAATGTGTATTTTGACATATTTATACAAACCTGAAGTATGTCTTATTCTAATTGGGATGCAAGTCTTGTGACTGTATGAGCTGTAGAGATTCACAGTGGTATATACATATCTGTACATAGGAAATTCATGTTAGATTTAGGCCACTGTCTTTCCTATTCCTATCCCCATCCTGTCCCTTCATTCTCCTTTGTCTAATCCATTTTTTTCCCCTCTGTCTCTTTGTTGTGTGCTAGTATCCAGATATCAGAGAGAACATTTGACCTTTGGTTTTTGGGAATTGTCTTATTTCATTTAGCATGATAATCTCCAGATTCATTCATTTACCAGACAAAGTCATAAAGTCATTCTTTTTTTATGGCAGAGGGATATTCCATTGTGTACATATTTTCTTTATCCGTTCTTCTGTTGAAGGGTACCTCGGATGGTTCTGTAGCTTAGCTATGGTGAATTGAGCAGCTATAAACATTGAAGTGGATGTGTCACAGTAGTATGCTGATTTTAACTCTGTTGGATATATACCTAGGAGTGGTATAACCAGGTCAAATGGTGTTTCCATTCTGTTGGGGCAGGCCCAAAATGGCTGTAGTTAGGTTCCCTTACTGCAGCTAAGTTATATTTTCAGCATGTAGACAGAGCTAGGATCCGGCTATGTTATGATTAGTCAAGGCCAGAAACACTCTGAACATTAACTTGTGAGACACACCCCCCCCCTTATGTAACTGGTGGCAGTGTTAAAAGGGCATATAAAAAGGGAAAATAATTGGGGTGAAATGGGCTAATGGGGGACTAATGGAGACAAAATGGGGGGAAAATGAGAATTAAAATGGACCTGGCTGGGAGCTAGAGCTGAAGCTGGGGGCTGGCTAATAGCTATGGCTGCCCCTGAATAAAGGATGACCAGTATTCCCACTGTGCCTCACATCTTCTTTCAATTGCTCAATCTTTGAGCCTTGTTTCCTGGGTCAGAGCCTCTGCACAACACATTCCTAGTTTCCTCTGCATAATACATTCCCAGTTTTTTGAGGAATCTTCATACTGCTTTCCAGAGTGATTACACCAATTTGCAGTCCTACCAGAAATGTACAAGTGTACCTTTTCCCCACATCCTCACCAACATTTGTTGTTGCTTGTGTTCTTGATAATTGCCATTCTGACTGGAGTGAGATGAAATGTCAGTGTAGTTTTAATTTGCGTTTCTCTAATTGCTAGAAATATTGGACATTTTTTTTTGTTTATTTGTTAACCATTTGTATTCTTCTGTGAAGTGCCTGTTCAGTTTGCTTGCCAATTTATTGATTATTTGGGTTTTTGGTATTAAATTTTTTGAGTTCTTCATATATTCTGGAGATTATCCATGTGAGATACTAGTGGCAAAGATTTTCTCCTACACTGTAGGCTCTCTCTTCCCATTCTTGATTGTTTTCTTTGCTGTGAAGAAGCGTTTTAGATTGATACCATCCCATTTATCGATTCTTGATTTTACTTCTTATACTTTATGAGTCTTATTGAGGGAGTTGATTCCTAAGCCAACACAGTGGAAAGTTTGGCCTTTTTTTCTTCTAGTAGGTGCAGTGTCTCTGGTCTAATTCCTAGGGTTTTGATCCACTTTGAATTGATTTTTGTGCGAGGTGAGAGATAGGGGTTCAATTTCATTCTCTATGTATGCATTTCCAGTTTTCCCAGCACCATTTGTTGAAAAGGCTTTCTTTTCTTTGAAGCATGTTTGTGGAGCCTTTGTCTAGTATGAGATAACTGTATTTGTATGAGTTTGTCTCTGTGTCTTCTATTCTGTTCCATTGGTCTTCATGTCGATTTTTGTGCCAGTACCTTTCCGTTTTTGTTGCTCTAGCTCTGTAATATAGTTTAAGGTCTGATATTGCTTCACTTTTCTCACAAGGATTGCTTTGGCTATTTGGGCCTCTGTCTGTAGGGAAGAGAGGGTATGCCAGATGTAGTGGTGCACATCTGTAATCCCAATGACTCAAGAGTCTGAAGTAGGATCTCAGGTTCGAGGCCAGCCTGGGCAATTTAGTAAGACCCTGTTCCAAACTAAAATAAATAAAAAAGGTCTGAGAGTGTTTTTCAGTGGTATCAGTATCAGGAAAAACAAAAGAGAGAGACATCTACCCTTGAAGTAAATTCAGGTATAAAATACAATAACATTAACTATAGTGACCATGCTGTATATTAGATCTCCAGAGCTTATTAATCTTGAATAAGTGAGACTTTGTACTCTTTGGTCAACATATTCCCATTTATCCCTTCAATCCCCCATAAGGGATTGAACCCAAGGATACTTAACCATTGATCCATATTCCCAGCCCTGCTTTTTTTCCCTCATATTTTTTAATTTGAGACCAGGTCCCACTAAGTTACTCAGGGCCTCACTAAGTTGCTGAGGCTGGCCTGGAACTTGTGATCCTCCTGCCTCAGCCTCCTGAGCTGCTGGGATTATAGGAATGAATGTACC